CTACTTTCATCTTCTGGATATGTGAGTTCTTAACGGGCCAACACTCAGCCCCATACATCATGGCCGGTCTAACCACCGCTTTATAGAACTTACCTTTGAGTATTGGTGGCACTCTCTTGTCACACAGGACTCCAGATGCTAACCTCCACTTCATCCATGCTACCCCAATACGGTGTGTGACACCCTCGTCGATCTACCCTCCCCCGGGATAACCGAACCAAGGTACTTGAAGCTGCCTCTACTCGGGATGACCTGTGATTCAAGCCTCACATCCACGCCCATTTCCCCCGGCTCAGCGCTGAACTTACACTCCAGGTATTCCGTCTTCGCCCGGCTCAGCCTGCAACCCTTAGACTCAAGAGCCTGTCTCCAAACCTCCAGCCTCTCGTTAACACCGGCTCGCGACTCACCAATTGAATTTTGAAACCACAAAATCATTTTAAAAAAGGAGGAGCTGAACCCTTCTTTATATAAGAACTAGTGTTGCACATTTTTATCAAAACTCTTGATAGGCCGAGGTCTGTGGAGCTAAAATTGCTTGTGATTTGAGGTAAACTTTCTAACGTTTAGACTGTTCTTGAAGTCTTGTAATAATAGACATTCTTCAAGTTTTGTAGTAACAGAAGTTTCTCGTAGTTCTCTACATAACAATAAGTTCAAGTTCGTAGCTTATGTATACTATATTAAAAGCGCGAAACCCCTATCGAAATGCCGTTCACCTTTTTTATCCTTTAAAAATATGTTTCACATTGGATAAAATTCTAATTGTAATTTAATTATTTTCTTAATATTTAGGAATTTTAAATCAACTAAAATATTGGTTATTAAATCTTTTATTATTTGATTTATGTGAAGTTTCTAATATTTAGGAACTTAATTCACCTAAGAATTTTATATCGTTTGAATTCTGTTCCTAATTAAATAGATATCCAAGAGCAGATGTTATGGTTATCCATGTATTTTCATTCTTTCTTCCTAATCTTTCTTTTAATAAGAATAATAATTTTATCGTTGAATTCTGATCCTAACTAAATAGACTATCCAAAAGCATATGTTAGGTTTATGCATGTATTTTTATTCTTTTTTTCCTAATTTTTAAATAAGAATAATAAAAATTATTACTATTTTTATTATTACTAGAATATTTGAAAAGTACACAGACCAATAATTTGAACAAATTATTAACAAAATATTTAAGACTATAATAGAAAGAGAGAGTGAGAGGAAGAAAAGTGATTGATAAGAGACAATGACGCTAATGATTCTATAAAAACAAATCTCCGAAAGTGAAAATCTAAGTCAGTTTTTTAAGGCTTTCATAATTATTTTTTAACGTTTTGATAATTATTCTTATTGGATAAAATTATAATTACAGTTAAATATCTAAAATTACGGATGAGCTTATGAAGAATTTGAATCAACCAAAAATAAACTTTCCTTTAATGTTGAGAACAAGTAGTTAAGTCTTTGAGTTAATTAATTAGGAAACGAATCCAGTTTAATTATTTTTCAAATTTATCATATAAGTAAAATTATTTTCATTTCGGCAAATTTCTTAGAAATTTCTTTTGATAAGAAGAGCGTCAATGTTGAAAGAAATAAAAAATATGACAAAATTGGTTATAGTAATTGGTAAAAATACAAACATGAAGGAATAGGAATGAAATAGTAGAATACAAACTATATTTTAAATAAGTTATCACTAATTATTATCCAAAATGACAACTCCCTATATGTTTTTTCTTTTTTTTGGTAACCTGGCAACCTCTTCATTATCTAAAAGAAAGAGAAATATAATTTTTCGATTTGCTTTATCTGGCAATTTTTTTGATAAAAGATTTTTTTGTGTTTTGTTTATTTTTGTATTAGGTCATAGAAATAACAAGAGTTTTCACAAAACATTCTTATAGAAGTCCTCATAAATTACACTAAGACATCTGAGACTTTTATGAGTAGGATTTCTTTCTTCATTGAGCTAGCTAAATGAGATCAACATTCGTTATTTTCAGGAACTTATACATTTTCATTAATTTTTATTTTATATGTCGAACACATTATTTAATAATAATTATGTAATTTTTAAAATAAGTGTATTTATTAATATAGGGTACACGCGCGAAACGCCTACCCTTAATGAGGCGAAACTTAGTACTCAGGCACAAAAATACACTAATGGCCCCGCACCATGCGCCGCACTAATGGAGTTTATCAAAGGGTTATATTGTTTTCACTCTACAAGAATTTTACATTACCGCTCTGCGTGCCCCGTAGCGCTAGACCATTTTTTCAACTTTTTAGTTTTCTTAACTTTTTGTATGCAGAT